CTTGCTGATGGCTTGATCAGATCTAATGGGTTCTAATGGTGAGTGACGCACAGTCGTTAAAGAGCTCGGGGTACAAATCCGAATTTGCGTTTTGCAGCCAACGTGACTGAAAACCCCCACCTCACTCGGTCACACATGGCGTCAGACATGGCTTATGCTGAGTCGAACAATGTCATGTTGACAAATGTAGTTGCATCATCATTGAGAGCAGAATTGAGTTCAGAATTGAGAGTGGTGGATGGATTTTGACACTGAATTAGACGTAACAAAATGACCTCAGCAGAAGTGTTGAAAAGTTGCATCTGCACAGACGAAATCACACCAGCTTCGGATGCTGTCTTTTATCAGTTGCTTGTTGCAAATAGTCTGTAACCGATTCGTATTGCCATGATTCTTACCCGCCCCATATCAGAGTGGTAGTGTGCAACCGATTCGTAATGCCTTGATTCTTCCCGGTCCTTTATCAGAGAGGTAGTGCAACTGATTCGTAAAGACCGGTTCCCTATCCGAGTGGTAGTGTGCAACCGATTCGTAATGCCTTGATTCTTCCCGGTCCTCTATCAGAGAGGTAGTGCAACTGATTCAGAAAGACCGGTCCCCTATCCGAGTGGTAGTGTGCAACCGATTCGTAATGCCATGGTTCTTCCCGGTCCCTTATTCGAGTGGTAGTGTCCAACCGATTGGAAATGGTCTGGGTTCGAGTTGTTGCCTTTGGGTGCCACGACAACATTCAAGGACGTGTGTTGCTGGTATAGGGCCTACAATCTTCCGATGACAGATGGAGAACATACACTGTATGGCCAATAATATACTGTCGTGCCTCCTCCAAATGGCACGTAAATGTTCATCACTTTGCGAACGCTGCATGAGCAATACACTACTTCATCAATAATCAAAGTCTTTTAATAAAGTATTTAACCGTTTGGTTCCAAAACACCTCATTACAATGAAGTGAAGTGAGTTTAGGTTTTCGCCGCACTCCGCAATGTTCCAGCTATATGACGGCGGTCTGTAAATAATTGAGTCTGGACCATTCATTCCAGGGATCAACAGCATGATGATCGATCTACGCAATTTGGATACGATGACATTTGTCAACCAAGTTAGCTAACCTGATCAACTGATCCCGTTAGTCGCCTCTTACGACAAGTATGGGTTCATGAAGATCAGTTCTAACCCGGAACTTCACGGATACTTCTGCTTACTACCGAGTCTGAGTGCCAATGATAAATCTGGCACAACACCCACTGCCACAAGAAGTCACACGCGTCGTGACTGTCACAATGTTGTGTTTGGGAGCTATAGGAAATGTTTCCACAACAGTCGGTCACGGTCATCGCCAGACATTGGTGTACGTTCCCGTAGTTTCACCAAAAAATATCCCCTATTTTTTTCTGTATGTTACATACATCAATATAATGTTTCTAAAATACGAAACTGCAATCTGATGAAGTAGAACACGGAACACAAGGCCTAACCAGTACAGATATGGTAGCATCGAGAAGACCAGTCTAATAACACGTATTTGCTTTGTCTGTTCCGTGCTCCTTTCTTCCAGTCAGTCACTTTGAATGGCTCGGTAGCATTGTTAACCTAAAGAGCTCTTTCATTTTACCGATCCTTTATATAGAAGGAATGTTTTCTTTTGCGCCTAATGGTCTCTTTTCTGAAAGATACTCAAGGCTGATTATTCTCCAACTTTTACGTTAATAAAAACATTCTTTCAACGTAACTGCTTTAATTAAATACATTTTGGGAAACACATTTCTTTATAGAGACAATTCATATGATATCCGCCCTTTTAACTTTGCTAATGTCAGCAGAAATTGAAGCACGGCAACACTTGACATTTAACGACGCGAACAGATTCACCTACACAATCCCCTATAATTTTGAAAAGGACATGTTAAATGTACTGGAGACTGCGAAATATGATCTTTGAAGAAGAAGTCGACTGTATGAAAATAAAACAGTCCTTAAACAAGCGGCGTCAGTTTCACGAATACGCCAAAGCAAATTATCAGAAGTCACATTCATTTTTCTTCTTTTAGTTTCAGTTTTTGCAGTTGTTATATCGTCAGACAATAATGTCTATTACTGACGGATGAATCACAATGAATTGAATTTCTCTTTGCTTTCTTTCACTCTTTTACTTATTCATATATCCATACTCCATGACCAGAATTCATGACAGGGACAATGGGAAGATGTCAATGGAAATGTTACCGTTACGGAGAACGGGTGGTCGTGGTATTCATGCCTGAATAATTGCATGTATCTTCGAGTGAGTGAGTGAGTGAGTGAATGAGTGAGTGAACGGGTGGGTGGGTTTGAGTGAGTGAGTGAGTGAGATTAACTCCGGGTTGAGCAGTATTTCAGTTTTGTCATATGATGTAGATCTTTCTTTTGTGGTGAACCCATGAGAACGACTATGGCGCTGACAAACCAAGAAACCTAAACTGGGTAAAACAGGGATTGGAACCGAGGATCCTTTTAGCACGCACAGGTAATCCAACCCGCCTCACGTTGTCAGCACATCCACACTAAGAGTGAGTGAGTTAGTTTAGCTTTTAGCAATATTTCAGCAATATCACGTCGGGGGACACAAGAAATGGGCTTCACAAATTGTACCCATGTGGGGGATCGAACCCGGGTCTTCGGAGTGAACGGTTTAATTACAAGGCCCCTGCACACAAAGCGTTATACATGTAATTACCTGGGCACTATGCGTGAAACATGCGATTCCTTCCTTTATCATTTGGAGTGGTTGCATTTATATAAAATAGTAGGACAATAGTGTGAACTTTGGTTATATGCATGGCTTCTTTTGTTACGGTAATCGTACTTGTGTGGGTGATTTATTCGGATTTCTCACAGTGGATGAGAAAAGTTGCAACATTGGAGCACATTCCGTTAGAATACAGAAGCGTATTTTCTGCTGACATATTTAAAGAAAAACAAATAATCATGTGAAATATGATTCGGTGAATGTTAAATTGCTTCTTCCTGGTATTCTGAGAGGGTTTGTTGTGACACACATGTCTAAGTAAGTTAGTAGGCAATGCAGAGAATAATTTTCGAGAAGCAAGTTAAATTGCGAGGAGCAAGTTATCAAGAGAGTAATCACTTTATTGGGGTCTAATCCTGGAAGGTGTTACTGTCTCACTCCTGTGTGACGGGCAACTGATGACAAGTGGTAACAGGCACCGCGAGTCGTCCTTAAGTATTGGTCGGATCAACACATTCGCCAGTAATTATCCTTGTCATTGGGTTTCACAGTCAGGGCTGGGCATTTGCAATTGATATTAATAGGGTGAGTGAGTGAGTTTAGTTTTACGCCGCTTTTAGCAATATTACAACAACATCACGGCGGGGGACACCAGAAATGGGCTTGACACATTGTACCTTTGTTGGGAATCGAACCAGGGCCTTCGGAGTGACGAGCGAACGCTTTAACCGCTAGGCTACCCCGCCGCCCCATCCCAGTTAGAAATTCTGACCATGCTAAACAATGACGTTGCTTTTAAGTATCGAACTGAGAAAGTGACTGGGTAATAAGAACGTGTGGTGAAATAGTCAAATGAAATTATTTAAACAGTTAAATCGGTAATCTACAGTCACAACATATAAAAATCTCACGCCTGTGAATTATCAACACATGAGATAAATAGCTCACATCAAAGCCTAAGTACTCCGAGTACTCACAGCCAACGAAGGTTTTCCGTCTTGAAATGTCGAACGTCTCACTGTTTGACACATAGCTGAGTAGATCTAAATCTTTAACAAGGTTCTTTTATGTAACGAGTAGATTATTTACTATTTGTGTACACAACCAAGATTAGACTACTTCTGCTCACTACCTTATAATCCGGGCATCCAGCTTCAAACGGCGCAAACCTATTCACTGTGCATGCGCTATGAGCGCAGCAGAGCACAGCTGTTGAAACCCCTTTTCACCCCACCTGGGGTTATTTTAGTGAATCGTTTGAACTCCGATTTCGCGGTAGTTTTTACATCGCGTTATTTTTCAACTAAAAAGTTTAATTTACATTTTTTGATAATTTGTTGCTGTAAGTCCATACCGAAAGGTATCAGAATCTGCAAAGTTCTGTTTTGCGTTGAAACTTCCATGTAAGCTTCAATATGGATGGTATGTGGTGTTTGGTGTGTGGACTCTTTTCTTTGCTATTTGTAAAACATATTGTGTGTCCAATATATATGCATGTATATATATCAAATATATTGATAACTATCCAGTATGAATGTGCGAGTTTGGGTTTCCCCATTTTATTTATTTATACAAGCAGTATCACGAAGGGGGACATAAGAAAAGACCTTCAAAGTTTGTACTAGTGGGGGATCTAACCACTGGTCTTCGACGTGACGAGCGAACGCATTAACCACTGGGTAAGCTCATGCCCCGATATCAGCGTTAAGGAGCATTGACGTCAAATGATCAACTCACTCTCGACGCAACTGTTAACTGTGCGAGTATCACCCACCTATCATTGGGTCTTACACAGTCGGCTTGTGTCATGGCCATTTTCGTCGCCATTCCTTAAGACGAGCGCATGTGTATTGGGCCTCTGTTAATTTCAGTACTCAACCATCCCTCACTGGCATCAACGTTGCCTCCATGATATTGTCGACAGCTGCTGGATTAATGACGAACCATGGGAGCACTTTCTAAGCTATCTTGCGATTCCTCAGAATCTTTATCCACAAATCACTTGAGATATAAGAATTCTCGTAGACTTTGGTGGACTAATCAGTGTTAGCGTACGTGAGTGAGTCTGGTTTAATCCCGTGTTTATCACCTTGGCCAAAAGCACAGGAGTTCGCAAGCTGATAAGCCTAGAAACATAATTACACACAAATCTGCAAAGCAGTTTCAATCTCCTAGACGACTGGACGATCTCGTCCTAGGAATACTTATTGTATAGTGTTAACTGTAAGGATGACACACGACAAGTATGCTGAATAGCGAACCCGAAATCCACTTAAATTCATCAACTTTATTCGTGGTATACATTGCTACCAAACATATATGGTATATACATTATGGACTTGTGTCCACTTGTCTTGTGGTGAATAGGATGTGGAATAGGGTTAAAAGCTGTAAACAAATAAAGGGATCATAAGTCCATATAAACAATGAAATTTAGTCCACAAAATGTATAACAAACATCTCCCATTAACTTTTATGTCCATCCATGAATACATGTATTTTGAACTGTTATGGTAAAGCAATGTACCAATGAACAAAAGTATATAAGCCAGTGTTCCTTTAAACCTACTTTCATGAACACGTTAATATGAATAACACATGAAGAAATTTCAAGTAAATACCATCAAATTCCCATGAATATCGACCAAATTACTATGGTGAACATTCAGAAATGAAATACCAACAATCTCCATAAATATTAGGAAATTCCACAACGAAAGTAAATTCATAAAGTAATGGTTTTATCCATATGAAATAGGAAAAATATATGGTAATAGCATTACAATGCTTAGAATATACCTGTAGCATGAAATGTGCCATAAATACAAAAAGTAAAGAATACATACACTTTGGTGATTCACTGTGGGTTTATGTGTGAAAAGGAGCAACATTTCAATAATGACTTCAGCGTGATGCTGCCTGGGCGACTCACTCACGGCTATCCCTGTTTTAAAATGACGGACAGAAACTCTCGCTTTTTACCAACTTGCACGTGCTGATCGTGCGCAAACCGAAACCAGGTATCGGCACTGGTTTGACAAACCAGTTACGGTCCTAAGAGAAAAATACATAAAAAAAAGGTTTCACTGTCGTTCGTGACAGCACAACAAGAGTTGAAGACGACGTTTATGTCCATCTCAAACGAACACTTTATTTCAGCATTGTACCAATGCAATGATTCTTTACTTCGTGTGTCCTTTTCTTGCGTAGGGGCGGCGGAATGGCCTTACAGATAATTAAAGCGTTCGTTCGATTCCCCACATGATTACTATCAACCTCACTCACTCTATACTCGGGGCGGTGGCGTAGCCTAATGGTTAAAGCCATTGTTCGTCACGCCGAGGACCCGGGTTCGATTCCCCACATGGGTACAATGTGTGAAGCCCATTTCTGGTGTCCGTGATATTGCTGGAAAATTGCTAAAAACGGCGTAAAACGTCACTCACTCAATATACTCGTGTCTTCGTGTCATTACCGTATCCTGGAGTAGGGCAATTGCGTTAACACATACTGCAATGCTAACGCCTACAGTGACGGGTAATGGCATATAACAGAAGCCCTTTCACAAGGTTATTAAGTTTAGTACTACTTTCCAAAGGCATTGTAACTAGTCACCTTGGCGGTACTGCGACATTTAACTTGATTCGATATAAAAATGTTTACTTTCTCTCAGCTCGAAAACCTCTTGTTTCACAACCCACACACGAAAATGTAGAACATACCAAGGTGTAAGTTAAATTCGTATATCTATTAATGTAATGTTTCATAACTATGAACGAAGGCGTAATTGCCCCTTGAGTTCATGGAGAATGTGAAAGAGGGTATGTTTTCACGCCATGTTTTTCAGCATTCTCAAAGTCTGGGACATCGGTAAATGGAACTTACAGTTTTTACCCATGAGTGGAATCAAACAGGGGTCTGTGGCATGACGACTCGTTTTAATCTGTGGATTACGTGAAACATTAAAAAATATCTTGTGCTTCTGATTTAAAATTACATTATAGGGTAAAGCTCTGACCAGCCTTCGGTGAAAGTGAGTGAGTGAGTATGGTTTTACGCCGCTTTTAGCAATATTCCAGCAATATCACGGCAGGGGACACCAGAAATGGGCTTCACACATTGTACCCATGTAGGGAATCCAACCCGGGTGACCAGCGAACGCTTTAACATTTGGCTACCCCACCGCCAACTTTCGCAGTAAAAGAAGCGGCGGTCGTATATTCTGGAGTCACTCCGTGGCAATCTGACCATAAATCTATAGGCAACAAATCAGTGTAATTGGTCAAGCCCGCAAAACAATTTATCAGCTAAACATTACGATTATGACTCGTTTAGGTGTCCCCTGTGATAGAATATCATTCCATGAACCGTACGGATCTCCACTTCAAAACCCATTATTCTCTGTAATCCAATTTCTCCATTCCGTCCATACATCTATCATTAATCATAAACCGTGTGTAATTCGAGGCGCTGCTTGTTAGTTACACCGCGGTAATTGCTACTGTCTGCCGTATACCTTCAGGAATAAATCCATAATAACATATTGCGTGAGAGGGTCACATGCGTGGAAATAAGGAATTCCGTACAATTGATTATAATAGACTGCATAACGAACGTTTTCTCTTTCCAGTCATGAAGGCAGGATAGAAAATAAACCGATTTATCATTCAATCAAACTTCTATTCCATCTGTCTCTTCATTGGAGACGCATTTTCTATTAGCCAGTTAGGCGGTTAACACAAGGCATATGTTGGGAACAGAGACAATGCAATTTCGAAAAAAACAGTTGGGTTGTCTGCGATGCTGAAGATCTCGACCAAGAGCAGGAGCCCTCAAGAGATTCTGGTCACGAATGCCGGTTAAGAGGCCGGTCTCTTGGTTTAGGAGGTTGACATATTAGAGCTAGATCTCAAGGTAGTAATGCGCAGACTGATGTATGATCATAGGCTTTAAAGGATAAGGTAATCCCGCAATAGAGCAGCTTCCTGTTTAGCCGGAAGCTGATCCGTAACTGGAGTAACTGATTTAACACGACTGCGCTTTTTCTGTTGCCTTTGTTTCCATTTTAGATAATCGGATACTAGTCAGGAAATTAAAGAATTTATTTTTATTGGATCTTATAATGCGGTATGAATGAATTAGCATTTGTCTTTTATTTTTATTGAAAAGCAGTACATTTCAGGATGTAGAAGTCTCACAGATGTCATTCTTGACATACGTTTTCCTGCCATCGTTGGCACATAAGCAAAGGTGTGCCATTTTGAATACTAGTCTCATGGTTTGTCGGTTATACTAATAATGACCACCATCTATATTTAATTGAGGGGCGGTGGGGTAGCCAAGTGGTTAAAGCGTCCGCTCGTCATGCCGAAGACCCGAGTTCGATTCCCCACATGGGTACAATGTGTGAAGCCCATTTGTGGTGTCCACCGCCGTGATATTTCTGGAATATTAACTAAAAGCGGCGTAAATCCATACTCATTCACTCACTATTTTAATTGAAAAAACCCATAACACACAGCATTTTGTGATAGTTTGACCATAATGACATAATATATCATGGTTCTCTTTTTCATAATGTACACTGGTTATTCTCTGCCCTTGACATGTTATTTTGTTGTTTACAAAGACTCGAAACACACTCACATACACACACAGATAGACACACAAAACAAACGAAACAAAACCGTGGGGGTGCCGGAAGGGTGACATGCAGCTTAAATCTGACCTTCGTAACTGGGTTAGTTATTTATGATAAATTGTCCGAAAGATCAAAATGTTTTGCCAAACCTATGTATTTCAAATCTACTATCTCTGATGTTAAACGTGTTTATGGTTGTATATTCTAATTTTGAAATCACAGAAACCATATTTATTCTCAGCATATCGCTGAAGTTTACAGTGTCTTCGGCAACCCATGGTTGTCGTTAGAGGACTTACCTTTAGAAGATCTTCTTGAAGACTGGTATTGTCGCATATATCTATGTGAGACACGCAAATCAACATTAAACCCTTATCAGTCAACCCTAACAATCGAATCCGTTTTCTCCCCGATAATGTTTCGAGAAATATGTGCACCATAATCTGTGTTCGTGGGTTTGACCCTAAGTGGTTAACGTCTAAGAACTGCATCATTTCATCCTTCAACAGACCCTGGAAGATCCGGGTTAGAACTGGTCTTCAGTAACCCATGCGTGTCGTAAGAGGCGACTAACGGGATCGGGTGGTCAGGCTCACTGACCTGGCTGACAAATGACAATTGCAATTGCCTAGATAGATGCTTATGCTGTTGATCACTGGATTGCCTGGTCAAGAATCGATTATTTACAGCTACAGCTGAAATATTGCTCGGTGCGGTGCTGAACAATAAACAACTGAACAACTAAAGTTTACATGACGTTTGAACAATATTAAATATAACAAGGGATAAAAATAAGTAAAACGATCACTATTGGCCATAGCAATAACGTTATATATAGATAGATGTCAGAGAGATATATCCTTTCTTTTTTTCGTCGGTATCACAATATATAGCGGACTGATTTTCTATAGTATATATACAGCGTTGGTATTTCCTATAACGATACTTTAGAAGAAACTTAGGTCAGAAAGTAATTCGTTTGTGTTCGGTACACTGGTGTACATGAATAGAACAAATGCACTGTGATACCGGCATTATTTCTGCACGGCTTCTGTCCTGACAGCCTATCTATTCTGAGCACAGCCCCGTGATAAACGGCAGACACAAGAAGTCCTTGCAGCCATCAGAGTTGGATTTGCAGGGAGCCTGCAGACAATGAAAGGTCAGTGGGACACGAGAAAAACGATTAAACTCCTAAAATACGTGATGAGTCTCTGATGCAACGTTTGAAATGGATCTTACCACTTGAAGATTGGAAACTATTTCCAAAGACAATCACTTCCAAAGACGAACAATCTTTGTGAAATCATCGTTTCAAGTTGCCATCCTGGTGAAACAATCGCGTCACTGTGCAGGCAGTCGTCATCAAAGCCCAGTTCAGTGGGTCAGTAGAACCAACCAGGATAGCCGCAGGTCCAGAGACCAATCTGTCATAATAAAGAATCGACCAGAGTCTGCTGGAATGGCTGTTTTGAATGCGTTAGTTGCTTGGGAAATTGCAAATGATTTCCTGAGACTGCAAAGTAGAACTACAGTGCATTTGTACGCGTACATACTTGATGGAAAACAAAACTTAACTGTTCACAATGAACAATTGTTGTGAAGTAGATTTGATGCTTGATTTTATCGGTTCATGACAAAATTAACGGGTTCAAAATTTAACGGTACCTTGAAATTTGGTCTATCAACTTGAACTTAAAAAAATAATATTTCAGCGTTATCATATTGAATAACCCTCCGTGATAAGATTTACCAGAATTAATCCGCAGTAATGACCAAGCTAGGATGGTTGAGTACGTGAATGACCGGGTCGGCTTTTTAGATGAGTGCTCAAACTAATGAATAAGGACAACGAGTTATTGGAGGAGTGATCTGGTGGGTGTTGGATGGATGTGTGGGTGAGATAAATAATCGCTGAGGTTGATGATTTAGAAAAGGAACGAATTGGTGGGTGTTTGGATGGACGAGTGGGTGAGGTTAGAAATGAATGACGGTGATGATTAAGTGAGAGCATAAATAAATCAGACTTTTGAATGGATCTGTTTGTGAATTGTTGATTGAGGTTATAATTAAGTGAATGTGTGCACGCGTGTGTTTTGTATGGTTATTTGGTCGTCTTAATGATCGTAAATAAATGACAACGTAAAATGTTTATGCAAGTAATGATTGAGAGTTAATGACAGTGGTGAGTTTATATAGGTTTTGTTTGTCTGTTGCATAACGCCATATTCTGTCTGCAAACAAACGGGTCTGGACAAGACAATCCTGTGAGAAACATCATCATATTAATATAATAATAATAATAATGCATATTTATGTGTGCGCCCAATCCACCT